CCATGGTACAATTCCTAGGCCACCTCGTCTCAACGTCTAGTATCGAGGGTCTTGAGAACAAAATCCAGGCTATTAGAGACCTTCCAGCCCCGATGTCATTTAAGCAACTCCGTCGATTTTGTGGTCTAATCAATCAATACCGACGCTTAAGCTCCCGCTGGGCTCAACTCATGCAGACTCTGACTGACCTCAAAGGAAAGCAAGTTTGCTCTCCGCGATACAGCACATGCGGCATTTACCGAACTCAAGGATGCTTTCCCCAATATAGCTATCATCGCTCACTCCGAACCGTCTACTTTTCCTTCCCCGATGACGCTTCAGACGTTGCGGTAGAAGCTGTTCCCCAACAAGTTGGGTGGACAGTAGCAATCGTTTGGGTTCTTCTCCAAACGCCTGCAACTTGCGGAATCCCGCTAGAGCACGTCTGGCAGAGAAGTGAATGCCATCTAATTAGCCATCCGTCACTTAAGACACACATTAGGTCATGATTTTACGAGCTACTCTGGTCACAAGCCTCTCATCTTAGCCTTTAGGTCATCACCACGAGAAACCAAACACCCAGACATTGTCATGCAGTTCACTGCCGACAAACGTCATGTTTCAGATATCGCCAACCCCGTTGCCGAAGCCCTCTCTAGCGTCAATCTTACTCCAATCTCTGCCTATCATCGACCTTGCCGCCATTGCATCGGCTCAAATTCAAGATGAAGACTCCCAACGTACTCTGCAGTCCACTTCACTGTATGTGCAACCGGTTCCTCTCCAAACCACGAACGGAACTAGCCTTTGCGACACCTCCACATGTTGTCCTAGACCTATCGTGCCGACCTCTTTCAGATGCAATCTTCAACAGCCTGCACTCATGCTGTTATTCGTGGATCCGAAATTGGCCACCGAACGTTTCGTGTAGCCAAGCGTGAACAGAGATATTCGCAATTGGGCTCGAGCTTGCCTTTACTGTCAGCGCTCCAAGGTACATTGACACACCAGCAGTCCTCTCGACCCATTCCCTGCCCCAGGTTTGCGGTTCTCCCACGTACACTTAAATTTAGTATGGCCCTCATGGATTCGTATACACACTGACATGTGTCGACCGTTTCAACAGATTGCCAGAAGCCATCCCCATACCAGACTGCACGGTCGAAACAGTCATCCGTGGGTTTTTGGACCGTTGGGTGTCACATTACGGATGCTCACAGACCATCACTACCGATCGTGGAACGCTTTTCGAATCGCCACAATTCGATAGTTCTGCGTATTCATACGATGGCTTACCACCCTACAGCTAATGTCCAAGTCCAGATTCTCAACCTTTGTGGCTGTTACCAACAAAGCTGGTTCACTAAAAACATTTACCCCCAGAAAAAGCTTTAGTTTGAAAGTTAATTACATACTAACTACAGGATATTTTTCTGAATTACGGAAAATGAAGACTATTACTAATTTCTATGGATCATTCAAGCAAAGAGAACATCTACTTTTGAGCAGCGTTTTATTAGATCAAATGGTGATGTACGTCAGTGAGATGGTGGATACCGCTTAGTTTTAACAATTTCTTGTATATCTTTTTGCGATTTCAGCTAATGTACATCACAAGTCGCGCTTTAAGTTCATTCGGTTCCTTGCTATGGTGTAGGATTTCCGACCAAACAGGAGCAGATGTTGTGACTTCTCAGTTGTTTCAACCATCCCTTCCATGCCTTTCCTGGATGACAGGTTCCCGCCATCATTCTGTATCGATAAGTCCTGAACACTAATCGCCTATCTTGTGTGTGCTACCTGGTAAACATGCGCTCGTTCTTTTAAATGGTCGTCCGACCTATGCTCCCAAATTAGAGTTCACTCAGCTCTGCAATTCGACCATGAACGAGTAGCCGATTTAAAAGAACAACGATCGACCCGATAGAGGCGACATCCAACTGCGCTGCTGATTAATGATCAATTTCTGAGGTTCAAACTGTATTGATTTTCCATGTGCGCGTATGCACGCCAACTGCGTTTCTCATGCTATAACTCGCTCCGCGTTATTTGTCGAGCATACTACACTTCTCACACGTCTCCCTTCTGCTGTCTGGGTACGCGCCAATTTACAACGGTTAACATTTAGTCTTGACATTTGGTGACGGAGGTGGGATAACATGTCTGCACCGAACAGTCCATAAATCTTCTGGTCCTCTTCTATGGACAAACCATCTTTAGACAGTTGGAATCGATGGCGAAAAACTTTTCTTGATTATCTGGAGTTGCTTCCCATCTTGAATCCGGCAGTGTCACATTCGGAGAAACACAATGTAAAACTTTTACGGCAGTTCCTTGGGGATGTAGGTCAGAGATAGTTTGACACCCTTCGTGTTGACCAAGTCTGCTCTACTAGAACCAGTACCCTAGATACATTCAGCGCATTATGGGGAATTCGGCAGTGTGTTTACAGCTAAATACTTCTTCTCCAAACTCTCCCAGGAACCAGACGAAATCAAACGAATTCATCGCTCATATACTCCAGACGGTACCAAACTGTAAATACAATGAAATTGATCCAGCTAGGTTTGAAAAATCCTTTCACAAGATGGTTTTTTGCTGACGTGGGAGACAGCCTACCTGCTTGCTTGGCAGAGGGAAAAGCTTACTCAGTAACTAACGTTCACTCTAAAAGACCCATAGGAGGATTTGCGACTGATTCATAGCGCTTTAAAATCTAACAAAACACATAATAACCTCAGTTCGTTCGTATGCTATCGCTGTGGTGCAGTGGAAAATCGATACGGCAGCATCAATGGCGGTAATTAAGGAAAACGCTACTAAAAGGCTGCCGCCCTTATCAGTTTGCAAGTCCGTTCTTCGCATGTACACAGGTGAAGCGAGACGTGTTCCTGGTAAATGCTCGGTAAAGGTACAATACGGCGACAGGATAGAGACAATTCCTGTATATGTGGTCTCCGGAGGTCGCCCAACTTTGCTTGGAAAGAAGTGAATACGCGCATTTCCGGATACAATGGAGGTAGTAAAAACAGTCGCTAAGGTTCCATGAGTTAAAGCAATACTAAAGCAAAATTCAGCTATTTTACCGAAGAGCTGGGGAAATGGGAAGATTATCAGGCTTCGAGGATGTTAAAGAAAAAGGCTCAACCCAAAATCAGCAAGGCGCGCACACTACCGTACGCCATGAGGCTTAAAGTGAAAGAATTAACCCGCTTACAAAACCAAAATATTATTGCTCATGTACAATTTTCTGACTGGGGTACACCAATAGTAACTGTAACCAAGCCAGACGGCTGCATACGTATTTATGGTGACTACAAAATGACTGCTAACCAAGCTTCTATGTTAGTCAGGTATCCGAAGCCGCGCGTTGAAGAGTTGTACGCAACTCTGGCCGGTGGTGGCTTACCAAGCTTGATCTCAACTATGCATATTCGCAGATTGAGCTCGACGATCCTTCCAGGAAGCTTACTATTCTTACCACACATATAGGAAGTTTCCAATATACTCGTTTGCTTTTGGACAATAATTCCGCCCCAAGCATCTTCCAGAGGATTATCGACAACCTGGTGAAGGATATACCTTTCGCGTGTGCTTATCTGGACGATATTCTTATCTCGGGACGCTGTGATACAGAACATTTTCAGACACTCGCTGTTGTGCTCGAACGACTGAAACGAAGCGGATTTAAAGTAAAGAAATCCAAATGTGAATTCCTTTCGTCTTCCGTTTGTTACCTTGGCTGCCAGCTGGATAAAGGTGGGTTGAACGTTTTAAATGACAAGGTGAAGGCGATTATAGAAAACTCGTAGCCGAGAAACAGTTATGAACTTCGTTCGTTCTTGGGAATGTTATCTCACTATCGCCACCTTTTTGCCAAATGCGTCTATAGCATTATCATTAAATGAATCGCTGCATAAAAATGTTCAATAGTGCTGGAATCCGCGTCATGCCTTCATTAAAACTAAACATGTGCTTGCTTCTGCACCAACATTAGTCCATTATCATCTTAAGAAACAACTCATTCTTCAGTGTGACGCCTCACCTTGGGGTGGAGGTCGGAGCTGTACTGTGCCACCGTGAAAACAATGGATCCATAAGCACATAGCTTTCGCGTCGCGTACATAAACAGCGGTGAAGAAGTATTCACAATCAGACAGAGAAGCGCTGGCTGTAATCTTTGGGGGAAAAAGGTTCCACTAGTACCTCTGAGGAAATTTTTTCGAGCTGCACACTGACCATAAACCCTCATTATCCTTACTGGGTGAAACCAAGGGTGTTCAACAAATGATGTCACTATGAATGCAGAGATGGGCTGTAAGCTTGCGCACATACAGTTACAAGATGGCTTAACTTACTGACGTCAACAACTGCACAGCAGATGCGTTAAGTCGTCTACCGGTAACTGAAGCTGTGCAGGAACACGTCCCTCCAGTTGAACTAGTCAATTTAATGCAACATCTAGACACACCACCAACACGAAGCGCAACAATCTGCCAATGAACGGACCCAGTGCTGTCAAGGGTAAAACCCTTCTTGACCATAGGTTGGCCATCTGAAGGAACAGCGGACTTGCAACCGTTCATAATGCGTAGAAAAGAGCTGAGTCTATTCGACGGTTGCGTTTTCTGGGGCTCGCAACTTGTCCCTCCTAGTAAGGTGCGGTCAGAGATTCTTAATGAGCGCCACGATGCACATTCAGAAGTGGCGAAGATGAAAGCAATAGCAAGGGGATATTGCTGGCGGTCAAAGACCGATTCAGACAGAATTTACTGAGGAATTGCGATATTTGTCAAGCGTATCAAGGTAGTTAAACGCCCGATGGCCCGTCAAGCCGTGGCAACAAATCCATTCCGACCACTTTGGACCGATAAACGGAATGATGTTTCTTCTACTCATAAACGCATATTCAAAATGGATTGATGTGCATCCTGTCACCCAAACGACGTCTGAAGCCATCATTGCTAAAATGCGCTCCTTCTTTGCTACATTTAGTATCCCGGAAGCCCTATGCACAGATAATGGCTCACATTTTAACAGTGCTGTCTAGTAAATTTGTTACCAACAACGGGATCCGGAATATCAAAACGGCCCCGTACCATCCGGCATCGAATGGCTTAGCAGAACGGGCTGTGCAGGCGGTGAAACAAGGTCTACTAAAGCGGCGAGTGAGAAATTTATACACTTTGCCTACCGTTCCACAGCCACTGAGACCACCGGTAAGTCTCCGGCGGAACTGATGTTCGGCAGAAACCTCAGGACGAGGCTTCATTTGTTGTTTCCGAACCCGCGTACCAAGTAGAAAAACGACACAGGAAGTCTGTGTCATCGGATGAGCTAAAAGACATTCAAAGAAGATCAACTAGTATACACTCGGCTACCCCATGAGCAATGTTGGAAACCAGCAACTGTGATCTGTTCTACAGGAAGCCGAAACTAGCTACAACTTCTGGACGGCCGGATCGTCCACCGACAATCGAACAACGTACGCCCCCTGGGGTACAGACACACCGGCCAAAGAGGAACCTGAGTCCCGTTCTAGCACAGAGCAAGCAGCGGAGGACGTGAAAACCGAAACAACATTGAGCCCATACTTAGCTGGCCCAGCCGAATTCGCAAACTGGTCGAATGTCTCCAACCAGGAAGTTGACTTCAGCCACGAGGATGGATAATGTCACGTGTTGACTACTGATCAATGACTGACGCTGGGCTGCGCGCGCATGCACGCCCAATTGCAATTCTTATGCTTTAACTCGCTCCGCGTTATTTGTCGAATACACTACTCTGCTTACATGTTTTCCTTCTGCTGTCTGTGTATGCGCCAACTTACTATGGCTAACGTCTAGTTTTGACAGCTACATCGCAAGCTAGTATTCGTAGTTAAGGGAAATAAAGTCAATGACTACCAAACTGGGTGCCGTTGGTCCGTCTCGCCTTCCGGGTTGGAGTCCATGTGACTCACCTTGTGCTTGGCTCGAGACTTTGCAGGACATGGCTCGCAACCGACACCAGTGGCGCGTCTGCTGCCGTCTCCTAATCGGATTGTCTGTTTAAAGTGTGTTTGGTGCTGAGTTATCTGCGGGGTAATGGCTGATTATGACGCGTGGCAGTGAAAGCCGCAAGGAAGCTGTCTCGCCGATGCCGCCTTATCTTTGCACGATAGCCAGCTGTTTGTGACGGAATGTTGTCTACACAAGGTGTAGGCGCCTTGACCCTGAATGTTTGCTTAGGGCATTAAGGTTTTCAGGTAAGTCCCCCTTCTCTCCCTCTTCTTATTCTTTATTTCATAGGTCCTCATGGTTGTATGGCAGCGAAGCATCAGTTCAAATGGCTGATGTACTGCTGTTGATGATGATGATTCGTAGTTAAGGTTGTAAAATTTATCACGGGAAGTTATCTAATTCACTAAACATTCACCAATGATTTGTCACTGATGGCTAATCGAAAATGATTAGGTATTCAGTTACATGCTTTGATACAGATGACTTTGCCGTTAATTTTGTTTGGCAATAGACTTATGACCGAATCCGCGTACTTACACCTACCCCCAGTAAAATTACGTTTCACCTCCATGGGAGTAATTACCCCCAAGTTGAGAAGCACTGATCTAGTCGGACGCTTTCATTGACAGCCAAAGTATTTTCTAGGTATCACTTCTGACCCTGACTGGAGGCAAAACATTTCACTGGTACTTCAAGGTATCTGCAGCAGCATCAATGCTGACCGGCAGTGCGCACCAGCAGAGCCGGTCCACGGCACAATGCTTAAGCTGTCAGGATAGTTAATTTCGCCCCCCTCGCCTTAGTGGATGCCACTGACAAACTTCACATCTTCCTCTCTCAAAGCATGCGTTTGTTGCGTCCGATCCCTTCTCGTGAGCAAGACAGGGATGTACAAATACACATTGGACTCTCTACCTGCACACACGTATTCGTTCGCACAGACGCAGTGCGTCGTCCCCTTTAGCCTCCTTAATTCGGCCCCTTCAGAGTTCTCCAGCCAACCCCACACATTTTACCATACACAAAATAGTCGCCGAACAACGGTGTTTATCGATCGTTTCAAAGTTGCATTCTTCGAGGACCAGCCCCCAACCTTACCTGGTACAACCGCACAGGTACACCTACCGGCAACTGCATCTTCCACATCAAACACTAGACCCGTCCGTTAACTCTGACTCACCGCTAGCCCAGCCCCAATTCCAGACAACTGACCGCCGCAGTAGACATGTAAGACGTCCAGTTCGCTTTTCCGGTTTTGTTAACGTTTGTGGCTTTCCTTGGCACGTGTAGCTTTTACGGTAATCGTGTGCTTTATTCACAAACATTTTGCAAAACGACAAAAACTCCCTAAAAGTTTTGAAAAATCAAAAAGTGTGCCGCTTTTTGCTTTGTATACTTGCGTTGTTTTCCATACGGCGTAACGCCACGTGTTCCGACCACGTTCCAGCCTCCTCGAGTTTCGTGTTTCAAAACCTGTTCCCCAAAAATCCGTGGCATCTTCTGACTCATCTGTCCGAAGACTCAGACTCCAAAACCTTGGTTCCAAGTAAGCGCTGTTCCTCACTCTACCAGTACTGATGGGCTAGTCTGGTCCGCAAGTGCTCGAACACGATACTCCTAAAATGATATCTGGACTTTTTCGTGGGAGGAGGACCGTTACGGCCTTGGACTCCGAGTGAGGTGGGGAGAATGACACCTTCCAGACGCACTGTCGGGTCGCAGCGAAGAAAATACCCTGGCGGCCTTTTACCTGGACTAGCCAGTTACTTTGCAGTCCGACCAGCCCGCCCCGGCGGCCCACACCCAAAGAATAAGTAATATAAAGATAATAACGGACCTGGGGAACTCCGAGCCTCCCTTCTACGTTGCCCGTACCCAACTCATCTGTCACCTGACTTTCCCATTACATTGCCTCCCCAATTGACACCTTTATTATCGAAGGCTTCCTTCACTTAGTCATCTAGCGGAAGACCCCGTGAAACATTTACGCTTTCAGTATTTCGTGGCGAGTTTTATTCTTGTTCATACCTTTCAACCATCCATGTTTCACTGATGGTATCTCACGTTTACTTTCGATTCCGCTGTAAGTCGGGCGGTTAATCGCTCCATGCTTCGCTAATCGACTTTAAGTTCTTTGTAGCTCGTTACAATACACGTTGGGTCCGGCAATGTTCACTTCTGAATACTTGGTATCCGTGGTTGATCTTGCTGGTAAGTGTCGCTACCAGTACCAGAGTTCGGCTCTACATCTGTCAGATAATTTTGTTGTTTTAACTTGTGAGCGCATTTCTGTTAAATCGGTCGACTCAAATGAACCATAAGACATGGTCCTATCAGATAGCGTTTCAGAATGGATGAAACATTTTGAAGGAGTCTGATCTTTAGTAGGGTGATTGATTAACAGCAAAGACGGTTGTAATGTAGACTAATGCTATTAAGTGACAACCGAATACCATTCCAACTAATTCGAAACGCCTGTTCAAGAAAAGGTTTGGTGAATGGAAGAAAAAGGAAGAACCGTGGCTAACTGAAACATCCGCATACCCACTTATTTGAACACTGGGTTGGACGTCGAAGGACATTCCAGCACATTTACTCGGTCACAATCACTTAGGCTTCCGTCGTAACTAGATTCATCATGGAAAATCGCGCCGCACCCACTGTTGTCATCCGACGGTACTGTTGTGGTACGTCCGCCGAAGATTCTCGTCTAATCGTTCAACAATTTTTTCGTCGAGCTATTTTTGACACTGTCCACAATATCGTTCACCTTGACATTAGGACGGCCGTTAGGCACTGTTAAGAGTAGTACGTCTGGTTTGGCATGCAGAGTTATTAGGCTCTAGGCATGTAGCTGCTTTACCTGTGAGAAAGTTAAGGCTCAGTGGCAGTTAGCCGTTTTCCCTCTCGCTTATTTTGCATGTATCCATCTCGAAGAAGTTGAAAAATTAGCATCGTCTAGCGCAGGAGCTACTAAAATGCGGTTCGCTGACCGGCGAAATCAGTGCATTCGGCCCACCGATTGTACCCGAATTAACTTGGTAAAGCATATGAAACACGAGACGTTGTGACACAATTTACATGACAGTGTATCTGGTGTCATCAGTGAAATGCTGTTGGAACACAAAGGTTCATAAGCATGGCATGGGACACAGTACTACTGCACTGCTAGTAACCTCACATCGTTGGGATATTGATGTGAGTGATCATACATGAAACCCATTCAACCGTGCATCCTACGGTGTTCCCGCTTAAGCTATAACGCCGCTCAGACTGAATCACCAACCTCATCAACCTGGGACCGTCCCCGTTACACTTGGGTGAAAATGGAATTCTTGTCAGCCTCTTAAATAAATGAACAAGAACGATGTTGTCAGGGAACAGTTTCTGGTGGATTTGACTTCATTTTTCCCAGTTCTGTGCGTCAGCCTCATCAGAGGAAGACGTTTGAAGCTCAGGAACTCCATAAACAATAATTGTCCCTTTTGATTTTCGGGTGTTGGAGCACCCGCTGTGTGCCTTGGATTGCGACACGTAAAGACAATCGTGGCCTCGATTGACTTTGAAGTCAGCCTCTGCCAATACGGTCACTGGGACTGTCACCGAAGTGAAAGGGTTTCGGTGTGGTTCCTCTCATCCCTGCATTCCATGATCGACGCTTACGTATTGGTTTGGACTCATCAGGTAGAGATAACGGTATTCCGTCAGATTTACCAACTTCTTCACAGATGCTATACGCTTGATCCGTTCCAAAGGATGTCCAGAAGTGTGAGCACCACAAGCAATGGTTAACGGGTCCGAATCTACAAAAGTAGAACGGACTCTGTGCCGTCAGTGGAACTCAGTGTCACCCGCAGCAGCCGAAGTTCCCCGTAATGTACCGAGTTTGGGTGGAGTGGGACACATTTCCGTGCCGTAGGCTCAATCGAAGTGCCAATCCCAAACGAATGGACGTCCGCTGATAATGGTGGTCCATCAGCTTCTCCTGTATGGTATTAGACTGCGGCTCTGAAACACTTGCACCCACCATGGCACAACAAAACGGAAATTAACGACATGATTCCGCGTGCGAATCAGACCAAATTCATATGACACAACACATTTCTAGCTTCTGACTCTATATTTATGATATTCACTATTTATTTAATATACACAATAAGAAACATAAGCGATGTCGTTGAACAGAGCATTTTCAGAAACTGTTCAGTCCTCATCTTGGTGCTCAATTAGTATAGCAAGTCCACCTGAAACTGAGATTCCGAACGTGATCTCATCCTAATTTCTCACTCCAATGGTTCGGATTTGGTTGTGCTTTCACTATCTAAGAATGATGATATCATTTGCACAGAATTGACTCATCTGCTCAGATAAGTATGGAAAGATATTGTTGTTCCAAATTGGTGCAAACCAGCCAACTCGCACTTGCGGCTGGTCTTGGTCGCAGGTGCGCAAAACACTCCGGTCGGAAATACATGTAGATTGTTCCAAGTCTTCAGACTGCGTGTGACAAACCTCAAGCAGACCACAATGGGTTTCTGCAATCATACTCACGAGCTGGACTTGCTCCCCACTGCCTTGTAGATCAGATTGTTAAATCAAACACTAGAGGTAGGGCTCCTTGAACAAAACCCATCTTTTAGAGTAGGTAGCCGGAAAGCATCATCTGCTCA